TAGGAAAAAAAGTATATTCACTGGATTTTATTTTCATGGAATCATCCCTTCAGCGAAAATAAATTCCAAGCGGAAAATAAAGTATTCCACAGTATATAAGTTTAGTTACCAGTACTCAGGATTATTTCAAAATTGAGTTTGTGCTGTTTTTTCGACTTTAACTGTTTCCACCGACTACTCATCCTATATTCCACAACATTGTACAATGGTGTGCATCCAAGAAACCTATATCTGATGTAGATCCACTGCGAAAGATTAGGGAGTTTTTAATTCATTTGGTAATGTATCGTTGTGCATTTTAATATTATACAATTTTTCCCTAAGTTTATTTCTGTCCAAATTATTTTGTTCAGATTATAGTACTGTACCCCCCCAGCAAGAATGGTTCATTCCTTACTTACAGTTGCCACAGTTTGATTGATGTATGTATGTACCTACATTGATTGAAGGACTGGTACAAATAGTAGGAATGGTATCAGAGGTCAATGACCTCTGTACTGATTTGTATGCCATAAATCAGTCAGTATAGTCACAGCATAGGCATTATGTTTTCAACAAAATTTTCACCGATTATATTCATGAATGATTTGTCTATCAAACTGAAAATGAAATTCTATAAAAATGTTGAAAAAAATATTCTTAGAAATTTATTATGGGGAGAATAGAGACATTAAATAATGGAAAAATTAATAATTTTTTTGTAAATTGTACGTTTTTCATAATTTTTATAAATTAAAATTTTTATTTTGAACAAAACTGTCAACACATTTTGATAAAATAACCCAAAGATTTTGTCAATATTTTGGTTGTAAAAAGGGAACTGCAAATGAACAGCAACTACAGGTACAACTACGGTAGTACCTTGTAAGAGATACTGTCAAATTCTTTATATTAGCTGGAATAAATTTTCGCTGAAAAGACTTTTTGAGTGTTATGTATGGAATTTATTTTCACTGATTTCTGACGAGCTGAATATAAAATATATTCGCTGGATTTTATTTTCACTGGATCAGCGAAAATAGCAAAAATTAATTCCAAGCGAAAATAAAGTATTTTACAGTGCACCACATAAACAATTTTTAGAGCGATTTACTACAGTCACAGATAAAATAGAAAGCTGCACGTATCAGGTGTTAAGTCGTTAGATTTTAGTCACAGCTGGTGAGGACTACATGCCATATACAGTATAGTTCCAAGCTGGCTAGTAGCTGCCATTGTCTTTTAATAAAAACTGATCATTTTTAAAGTGACTCTGATTGTCATCAATAATTTCAACTTACCCTTTATGGTATTTACTAATAAGGCCAGACTTTTATTATCCCTTGTTTCGCGAATCCGCTGAATGAACAGGAGCCGAAAATGAAATAAAAATAAAATTTTATGGCCAGCGTGTCATTGTTTACAAACAAGGGTCTACCTATGAGCCTTTCCGTTTTTAGCGTATGTTGTTATCGTCTCTTGGGACTCAAATCCCCGCGTGTGAGCAGGTGATGACCCTCTCGCTTTAGTATACCATCGTACATTATTGACTTTGTTTTGAGAAACTATTTTGATTGTCACATCATTTGTTTTTGTTCAACATTCAACATCCAAGTGGCAATTTTCGAGCACTACTGTTGTATATAATGCGAGGTTTCCTAGTAATGCTGAACAACAGTACAATCGCTGATTCATCATTGCAGGCATATTCAGTGGGTTTTGAATCCACGGTTTTATCATTTAGATAATGTGCTCTATGGTAAATTTTACATATTCACTGGGTTCTAATTTAGCACATTTTCTAGTCAGCGAAATAAGCAAAATTAATTAATTAAAACCCAGTATGTACCAGATTGGGGTAAAATAAAAATGTCGCGCCACTGATTTCCATAAAATTACACACATTTTATAACAATATTATTTACATACAACCTGAATTTATAATGTAAAAAACAAGGAAAGTATCATTATCATTGTTGTGGAATATTTCATCCGTTCACAAACTCATTACAATGACATTTATTTCTGTTTTGAGGAAGACATGAGTGGAGCTATTTTGACCATTAATTATGGACCTACATTTGTAATAGACGTAATTTCCCATTAATAACGAACCTTGATCAAATTTTGGTAAAAAAAAAAAAAAATATGAAAAAGGAAACATGATTCAGGTTTCTTTTGTAAAATGTGACCACAAGAGTTGATAGGCTAATGTAAATGTAAATCATGTCAGGATTAAATAAAGACCAGATAAGAAGAGGAATTAACACTAGTATTTACAACAGGGATTAAAAGGTCATCTCGAAATGAGACAATGCACATTAGTTATATATAGTGACACCTGTCGCTTACCTTTATTATTGGAAAAAAACTCTCAAAATGTGAATAAAGCCACACTAAATTTTATCAACTGCTGTTATGATCTTTGACATTTCTGTATTAGTAACATCCTGTTTACGACCACTTGAATGTTGGCCTGTATTCAACTTTATGAACAGTATTTCTTCTTGATGTTTTCAATACTGTAAAATGACTAATTTTCACTGGGTTTAAATTTCGCCGATTTACCATTTCAGCCATATTCACTGTTAAATTCAGGGTATCATTTAGTGTTCTATGCTATTTCATAGTCACTGTGTTTTAATTTAGCGCATTTCCCAGTCAGCGAAATAAGCAAAATTAAAACCCAATGAATAATTAATCCTTTTATAGTACTTGGTTTCATGTTTCATTCATAAGATTAAACTCATAAGCTACATGTATATTGAGTTAACGATACAGAAATACTTATTTCTCACTCTTAATGTGATTTACTAGCATTTGAAAAGAAAACAGAATAAATTCTTGTTTCCACTTTGGCCGTAACAACATGGACGACATGCTTTGGAAAAAAACTTGGCTGTCAGGTCAGAGGTCAATGTCTCAAAATACACATTTTAGATGATTGCGAAAATAAAGTGTATATACGTTTTCAATTTCAAAGCAGATTAATTTTACATTGAAATATTTAAAATAAAAGTTAAATGAATTAAAGTAGTTGAATGGAAAAATGAATATTAATTTGCTCTTGAATATTAATGAACTCATGAATATTAATTAGCGACCGCACTCGAATTAGGCTGGGCAGAACCCTGAGTATTGTATACTGAATCATTAAAATATGACTTATTTTAACCATAGATACACACCTCTGTCATTTACCTAAGCTACTAGTAAATTTGTTACTGTACGTATAATATTAAAACACAACTTGATTTTTTTGAACTCTTGAATTTGTCTCTCGCGAACTTAAAAAAAAGATTTTCAGTGCTCCAGTTTCGTAATAAAAACTGTATGTTCTCTTATAATACCGTTTTGTATTTTCCAGATCTAGTCTTGAAATTGTCAATTCTAGCAAAAACATGGTATGTTGTGTTCACTAGTGTTGTTGACTAATTTGTCTATTTGTTTATTTACAGTACTCGGGGTAAATACGGCGAGGGCGCAGAAGCTGAATATTTTACATATACGTTATCTTTGGTGTTTTCACAGTGTATTATTAATGCACTCGTTGCAAAAGCAGGTATGTTAATTTTGACTAGTAATAGTGATAGGAAGATGGTCACACAGCCCTGTCATGTAGTTAATTTTCGCTGAATAGACTTTTTGGGTGTTTTGTATGGAATTTATTTTCACTGAGTTTTGACGAGTTGAATGTGAAATATAAGAAAAAAAGGTATATTCGCTGGATTTTATTTTCATTGAATCAGTCCTTCAGCGAAAATTAATTCCAAGCGAAAATAAAGGATTTTATAGTAGCTAACTTAAAGCTGACTTAAAGGCTAACTTGCCTTGCTTTTAATACTTCCACATATCTAAACTGCAGAGTAATCTATTTCATGGCAGTAGCGAAAGTAAAATCATAAGTTTTTTTGAAAAGGCAATGCCAGCTACCAGCCAGCTTGGCAATTAAAGCGCGGTGGTTTTTCGCGTGTTTGAATTTCATGTAAATAAACAATGTATTTTACACATGTTTTATACGCCGCTATGAGTCCCATATCAAACAGGACGCGGCACGATGACTGCCGCCGTTTAAGTTACGACTGACTGTACTGTATACTGGTACGTCGCTGTCACCAGCTGTGACTAAAATCTAGCACACGCACACCACCTATCACATGCTGCTTACCATTGAACAGATTTTAATACAGCTTTTTATTTCACGCACAGAGTAAATAGTTATGTAAATATGTATTTATGTATTTATTTTATTTATTGTATTTTATTTATTTAAATATGTAAATTGTTCTGAAAATTTGTTTTTGATACTGTAAAGGAGGTAATTATTCACTGGGTTTTAATTTTGACTTATTTCGCTGACTGGAAAATGCGCTAAATT